GTTCTTGTGGTAACTTCTTGCTTGTTGCTCCTTGGTCAGTGTTCATAGTTGAACGTTATTTACCATCAGGGCATTGCCTCAATTGCTATGTTTAATGGTGCAGACAGTGGTGGTTTCTGACATGCGCAATATGGGCAAACGCCTAGGGCATTATCTTTTTAGGAATGGCACGAGACCACCACGGATTATAGCAGAGAGAGATTATAGCATTGTTCTGCTTTTAATATTGGTAACATTTATTAAGTATTTAATATCTAGGTATTTTTATGGGAACATTGATCTTTCAGATCAATTTGAGAAGCAATTTTGATCATATTTCACATTTTATCGTGTCATGTAGCACGGGCCGCTGGTCTTGGTCTTGACTCAATCTCGACTTTCCTCGGTCTTGGTCTTGACTTGGTCACGGACCCTAAAAGTCTTGGTCTTGTCTCGGTCTCGATACACTCTGGTCTTAGTCTCGGGTTATGTGGTCTTGACCACAACACTGCCCCTCACCATAATTTGACCTTTTTCAGTTAAGACACAAAATGCTACATGGTGGAAAACTAAGACTGAAAATAAAATGAAGGCAAGTGTTACATAATAACACATGTAACACATGTTTCATGTGTTAGCGTATGTTTGTCTTCCGCAGGACAGGACAGACTGTCAGAGTTGATGAGAAGATGGACGGAGCTTAATACAGGCCAAACCTGGAGGAAAAACTTTTAGAGGATGAAAAACACTTGATATTGGGGCAGAGGGTTCATTCTTAGGCCTATTCAAAGTCCACACCCAAATGCAACTGAAAATCTATGATTAGAATGTGAAACAGTTGTTTATGGATGGTTCCTATAAAATTTGAGACAGAGAGACTATAGACTATCCAAACTATTGACTGAAGAAAGAATAGTAAAAATGCTCACCACAATAGCAGCACACGCTGAAGTTTGTGATTGTAATTTGACAAAATATGAAATGATATAAAGACAAAAAATATATACTTTTTAAGGAATGTATGAATGAAATGGCTTCTTACCATTTTTGTGTCCATCTTTGATTTGATGTCTCTGGCAAGAGTCAAAAACGCCTGGGAATCCAAACACATGTCAAGGTCATTAAATAATGCATTAGTTATTAGCCCAGAGTGTATGAAATCATTTTTTAAAATGATAATGGGAAATTTCAGGGGTTTACCACTGAAGTCCAAAAACATTAGAAAATATTCATAATAAAGAGAAAATGAAGAAATATAAAATTCATGTAAAACAATAAAAAGTATTTAAATGTTTTATATGCTTTAACTAGCACTTCTGTCGGTATTGGGTCAATTTTAAATCATCCTATTATTGACATTTTACGTCAAATAATGAGATTAATATTATATGTTGGTGCTGATCATCAGCCATCCATGACAACGTTTTAACTCCAACCATTGATCAGAAGTGTCCCATTGCCTTCTATTAAAGCACTTTGATTTAGCGACTTATATGTGTTCTATTACAGACGCACATTAAAATTTTAAAGGGATTAACAGAGCAACTTTGTCATACCACATTCAGCCTTCCTGTTATTCATTACAGTCTTGCTTTCTCTCACTTTCTCACAGCCAGAAATGTAGAAAATCCAGTTTTATTTCAAAGACCTTACATCTCTGTGCTTTCTCTGACTTAAATCTTAAATGTCTCACCAATAATACAATTAGGCAACTTTTAGTCGAATGTTGTCAGCAGTAAACCCCCTAACTCTCTGACCAATTTCCTGAAATATCTCTATGACTTTGTCTGATATACAGACACATTTTGCATATTTCTGACACATTTGAAATTGTTCGTAAGGCAATCATACAGACATGTAGCCAGACTGCTAACAAATTAAATGAAACAAGTGCATATGTGAAAAGATTTTTAGATAATAATAGTTTACATTTTCCACATTGATGTTGGCCTTTGCACTGGTCTCCATGAACTTGATCCCATACTCTAGTGCAAGCTGAAATAAAAAAAATACATTTTCCCAAATTACATTTCGTTGAACTTGCCATCATATGTGTTGCTATATTATCAATAAATAACCTTCCATCTATGTTTGACTGAGACTCTCACCTTCTCTCCCCTATCTTTGGAAACCTGCCTCTTGTCGTTGATGTCGCATTTATTGCCAAGAACCATCTTCTCGACATCGGATGACGCATGCTACATTAACAGAGGAAAAGGAAACATTTTAAAATGGAGCCGCAAACGTGTCAGAGAGGATAAATTTGAAGCGGTACATACTTCCTCTATGTTCCTTATCCAGTTCTTGATATTGTCAAATGATTTCTCATTTGTGATGTCGTAGACAAGCATGATCCCCTGCAAAGAGCAGTACATGAAAAATATTGCTGTAAATGCAGCTGAGGAGCCTTTTAATGCTTAGGAAACAGAAACTAGTAGCATGTGAGGCTACCCACCATTGCTCCTCTGTAGTAGGCCGTTGTGATTGTTCTGAAACGTTCCTGACCAGCTGTGTCCCTGCAGGAGTCAAATACATCAATTAAAATAAAAAGAATGACATTTCTATCTTTAGGATCAGATTAGAAAGTTTTATTTTGCTTTTATCAGCAGCAAATCATAGCCGACAGAGTTTTAGTTTAAAAAGAAAATCCACTGATTGGCTTCCTACATGGTTGAACACATAACACCCATGAAATTTCCTCTTCCTGGTTTACCATAAATGTAAATAGGGTTTGATAGACCTGAATGATTCTCTCATATTTTTGTTTTTTCTATATTACATACAAGGGTTTTTTTTTTTTTTTTTTTACTTGAGTTTACAGAAATACAAATATACAGCAAACACAAAATGAGCTGTGGCTTGCAAAAGTATTGACACCACTTAAGCATTATACAACCAGAAGCTTCCATATATTATTATAACAGCCGGCATTGCACTGCTTGTACGGAAACTGGAGCTTGCATGGCTTCACCAAAAAAAGAAAAAAAAATCTGTATTTATGCTGAGATTAAATTATTCTCAGGTGGAGTCTATTTACAAATTTTGGAGGTAATAAGTTGCTATGTGTTTTATTTAGGAGTAGCAGGGTAAAGAAGACTAATAGAAAAACACAAAAAACCTTACAGATTTTTATTTGAAGAATTTTGAAACCATTTCTAATTTTCACTCAACTTCACTGTCAAGCACTACTTAGTGTTTTTTTTTCAGTCACATAAAACATGGTATACTTGTGCATTGTCAGAACAAGTCTGAAATGTGTCCTGCATCACAGCACCATTATTTACAGACACTCATATACAAACAGAATCAAGAGGTATAGATTGTAAGATGATAGCATTCCATGTTTTGCTTCAGGATTTATTTGTGTGCAGAAGCATTTCTCGGTTGAACCTTATGAAACTGCGGAGCCTTTTATCTTTGACCTGATAGTAACAGTCTGCATTTCTGGTTCAGAGCATGGTCAGGTTTTTAGCTAACTTCACATTATTACAGTAAGACGTTTCATGCAGCTTTTGGACTGGGATGGCCTACAATCTTCGAGCAAATTTTCATTTGATGAAGCACTTTAGATTTATCAGGAATAGTTTGACTCGTACTAAAAGGTTTTATGATACTACAAAACACTCAACAACACTAGTATAAAACAGAAGAACTTTTTTTACTTGCTCCAAAGACTTCAGGTGTCAAGGGAAATATATTCTTTGTTTTGTCTTTTAACGGATCAATTCAATGATAATTTTTTCTAGACAACAGATGTCATATAATGACTTCAAACTATCCAAAGAACCTAATTTTTTTTTCATTATGGATGATAATGGAAATTTGTGACAATCAGAGGATTGTCTGAAAAATATTTATTCAGTTTTTATTTATTTTATTAGTATTTTCACCTGTCCATTGAGCATCTTCACCAACACTCTATTGGTGCAGCCCTGGGTTGTCCCAGGTGTCAAGTAAATTAAGTAAAACTGTACTATAAGAGTAATTTTTAAGAGTAAACAAAACAGTCAAACTCGCATCCCCGAGGAGCTTCAACATTGGATATGACAGCAGATGAAAATCCCAACAAAATATACAGAACCTTGTATTTGGAAAAGTGATCAAATGTAGAAGGATTCAAGGGGTGTGAATACTTTTATAGTGTAGCAACAAAACATTGCACCATTTTTTTAAGTGCTCTTACCATATCTGTAACTTTATCTTCTTGCCATCAAGCTCTATTGTCCTAATCTTGAAATCAATACCTGCAGGAAGATAAACGGAAACGAGAATTCCAATCATAACGATAACTTTTAAGATGCAATAACACCCCACAAAAAAAAGCAAACTATTTACACAACAAAAGACAGCACTGCTCATATAATAGAAAATATCGCTTATGAAAAAAAGAAACAAAAAAAGCATTTAATGTGCAACACATCAGGTTTTCCGGTGTCTTTCCAGGACATAGTCGGGTCTAACGGTTGACATTTGGGCTTACACAGGATAAATGTAATGTCAAATTAGTTCTAAATAAGCTAGACATGAAATATTAACAGCTGTTCTATACCGAGATTTATTCAAGCGACCATGTCACCTAAAAACGGCACAACAATTTACATTTACTAACAAAGTCAATGTCTCATCTCCATATATTGCATTACAAGCATTCCAGCAAATAGACGTATCCGCAGAGCCAGTCCCTCTACGTACTATAAACACACAGAACACACCAAAATACCCCCCCGCAAAACGCACCTATTGTTGAGATAAACGTTGAGTTGAAGGCGTCTTCTGAAAACCTGAAGAGGACACAGGTCTTCCCGACACCAGAGTCCCCGATTAGCAGTAATTTAAACAAATAGTCGTATGTTTTCGCCATACTTGATATTATTGCGGAAATCCCGCCCGGCGAAGATGCAAAGCACAAAAAATGACACGACGCCCCCTGCTGGCCCGGAATTCACTTACAGGTGTTTTTAGCGCCAGTAGACGGGAAGTTACCCGGAAATGCGGGACGTGTTATTAGCCACGTGTTTTGTTTCAACAAAATTTGAAGTCTTATTTTATTTTACTTACATACATGCATACTTCCTACTAATTAACATAAGTTACACACAAAATAATCTAAATTAAATCAATATTTTGTGAAGCTGATAATTACAAAAGAAAATGCATTGATAAATTGATCGTTTTCACAATTTGTCTTTTTTTCATGACTATTGACATCCACATGCCACGAAGTCATGTGGATAACCAGCCCTGCTGTGGAGAGAGTTTTGTTTAAATAAGGTATCTATTGTGTTTTCATATCTTGAAATTGTCTGAAATTATAACATTCATTAATATTTACATTTTTAATTATTAAATTTCTCTACTGCAACGTTAATCAAACTATTTTTCTGAAGTAATTCACTTATATATCTTTTTTTATATATATTTCTTAACTGAATTAATAAAAGACAGTTGTGTGAGACTCTTAAGTTTATGTTATTTAGTATTTGGAACTTAACAAAGTAAATAATTTGAATTGTGATTTCACTGTAATCTACAGGAAGGAGGATGCAGTTTCAGTTCTGATCCCCGGGAGTCAGTACATACCTCCATAGATGTTGTATCTTGTTTGTTTTTGCAGCACTTCATGTGGAGACTTGAAAATATTCCTCATTTACAGCATCTTTATTACTGCATGCACTTTAAAAAATTATATCAAAGTGATTATATTTAAATCATGGTACTCCTTGTCATGGAGAACCTATACTAAATCAGTATTTAGAAAGTCATGAGATTCCTTTCCCTCAGCAATAAGTGACATTGACTTTTGTGTAATCAGAGTATTTTAAAAAGGTCAAACTGCCAATGACATAGTGTTTTTCCCATGATAAGATCAGAGTTTGCTGATTCTATGGATATGGAAATGTTTGGGAAAACAAATTCACTGATTTCATGCAGCAAAATGAAACTAAAGCATGTTTGTGCTTGCCCCTTTTCTACTAACCCTTAAAAGTGAGTGCTGAAATTGTCTCCAGGATACCAACAATTCCAGCAACCTCCACACCCAAGCTATTAATTTATTGCACAAGGCTCTTTTGCAATCATGACAGCTCTTATCCCTATAACATTTCACTAGGTTGGAGCAAAAGGAGAAATATATTTGACCACTCCTCTGCACATTCATCCAGACTCCTGTCGTCTCTTTTACTCTCTGCTCATTTTTATGTCGATTTTCACCAACGTTGTGGATTGTTATCCCCCTGAAAGAACCAATGACAAGCCATTTTCAGGTTTTTAGTAGTCCCAAACGATTTCTATTCAAAAACATCCTCTAGTGAGAAAATAAGGCTCTTAAACATCTCTGGAGGACTAACAATTCTGCAGCATCCTCCAACATACCTTCGAATGGGAATGTATTTTTCCAAATATGACAGCAACCCCAGTTAGCTGGAGCTAGACGATGGTTTCTATGGATACGTAGTGAGCCGAAGTCGCTGACGTAGTAGGTGGAGCTAACATTAAATCTTTGATATTTAAACCCCATGTCACAATTTCTGACTTTATATACAATGGGCACTAGTATTTCTTAGAGAGCCTCTCTAAAAACACGTAGACTGCCTATTTTAACAATGTGGATTAATACGTACAGTGGAAACCGTTTCAGCGCTACCACACAAATTAAGGGCTACGGTCTTGCGGAATTAGCCAATCACTACCAAGGAAAATAAAAGGCACTCCTGGATTGGCTGCTTTGCACACTCCAGCCAATAGCGTTTCAAGTAGCATTACGCCTTCGTAGTGCTTCAGAAGCTGCGCGATGAAATGAAACAGCTGCGCCAGAAAATACTTAACTGCAAATAGACGGGCGTCCACATTGTAAGCACGTTTAGTTAAGTGCTCATCATATCTGACAAGCTTCCATATTTCTGCGATAGAGACGCATCCCTACATGACGCTTCTACCTCCATGTTTCACAGTGGGGATGTTGTCATCCGGATGAATAACCTTCTGTATTCCAAGGATGTTATGATGTGTTGTGTTCACGAATGGTCTCTCACATATGGGCAATCTTAATCGTCCTGTAGCATAAAAGTCAATTTATATAATCACCAGAATAGCATGAGAGTTTCTCTTTCCCATTTTGAAGAGTGCCAAATATCATTTTTATATCTATAACCCAGGGAAACAGAAAGTCCTGGGTTACTAGATATTGATCAACATGAAGAAGTAAAGTATGAATCAAATATGTTTCCAGTTGTATTTATTTCATATGAATTCTCATGGCTGCCAATAATATGGGGTATTTTTTCCACAGCGAATAAATGTTCTAAAATTAAAGTTTTTTTTTTTTTTTTTAACGTTTTACAGAGTGAGATTAATCAGCAGCAATAGAAAACTGATGTAATTTTACAATTTTCTTTAACATGGGTGCCAAAAAGAGCAGAAGGCTAATCAGAAGCTGCATGGAAACTGACATCACAGGCTTTATTTGTTGTCAGATTTTGGTCTAGAACACAATTTCCAGCACCAATACTGAAATCGTTTGGACCCAAAACCATTAATTAAAAAAGTAAAAGAAACAAAGGAACCATAAATACATAAATTGGCTACATGAGTTAAAAAGTCACAGACAAAGAGACGTGGAATGACAAAGAATGGATGGCATGTAGAAAAAATTCTTTTACAAAAAAGGTGTTTTTGTTTTCCATTGCTGTTCGTTCTTCTTGGGTTTTTTTTTTTTTTTTTTTTTTTTACAAGCTGTTGAGCTCATGCAGTGTTTGGTCCAGAACCTGGTGCATTCCTAGGTTTTCCTCCTTTGCCTTCGACAGGTTCTCTGCAATAGAAAAGGTAGCAGCATGATCACATAAGCATCCCGGCTTTCAGGAACATAATTATGTTGTGTGGAAAACAGAAATTATGAGTAAAGAAGGGAGTAGGAGAAAAAAAAGTCTTTATTGTTTCTCAGTTTGATGCAAAGTGTGAAAGGAGCAGACGGAGAAAAGAAAAAGTGCAAAACATGAGGAAAAAACAGAAGTAAAGTGGCAGCTTCACAAGGTGTTCATATCATTGAGGGCATGATCCAGCTCCTCGCTGATAGCCTTATATTTCAGTTTCTGAGTGTACAACTCATCTGCAAGTGGGAATGGCAGAGAAGAAAGCAGGGTGAGGGGGTTCAGAGCCGAACACGGGCCAGGTTCGAGGAAAAGGAGAGAAATGAAAGAGAGCAGATTAATTATTAACTAAAGATTTACAAGAGCGCTCAGTAAAGAAGGAAAGCAAAGAGTGGGAGAGAAACAAGGTGTACCTTCTAGGTTGTCTATGGTCTTTTCGAGCTTTGACACCGTCCTTTCTGCAAATTCTGCACGGGTTTCTGCCTTTTTAGAACAAAACCCAGCATAAATATTAGTCATCCCCACACAGCCTGAAAATATACAGATAGCTGAAAGAAAGACGTGAATATACCTCCTTGAGTCTGTCATTCAGGATTTTAATCTCCTCTTCGTATTTGTCTTCTTTCTCAGAGTACTGCACAGAGAAGGACGAAATTAACCAGTTAGCTGCTAAGACGTAGCTGTGTCTGTTACATCAGTATTAGTTTGCAAAAGCATTCATATCCCTTTACTTTTTCATATTTTATTATTGAGATTTTAAGTGATATTTGTGAAATGAAAACAGTTAGTAAATAGTTACGTTTTATTGAGTAACATTTTGGAAAAAATCTACTTTCAGGACTATTTTTATTGCTCATACTTTTTACTTTTACTTGTGCAGCTTTATTGTGAGTGGCTTAACTGAATGAAGAACAATATTGTTTTAACCAAAAATTCACCAGACAAAACTTCAGTTTTTTTGTTAAAGTTTTATATTGAAAGCAATTGATTTGGAAAAAAGTTTTCTTTTGCTTATTGTGTTATTAGGTTATTTGTATGATGTATTTTTTTTTTTCAATTAAAATACTAAAATTTCCACATAAGTTTATATTTTACCCTGTCTGACGATGTAATTTTTAAATATCAAACGATTGATGTTTTGAACAGTTACTCAGTAACCTTCTTTCAGCAATCTGCCTTTTTGAGTCTGTATATTCCTGTTGCTAAATATGCTTATTTTGTAAAAGTGCTTAGCAGCAGCATGTGTACTCTGTTACCTTATCAGACTGAGCCTCTAGAGACTTGAGGTTGTTGGTGACGTTTTTAAGCTCTTCCTCCAAATCGCTACACTTTCTGCAGGAGCAAAGTAAAAACATTTAGGTTATTTTGTTTTATGAAAGCACTTTAGCAACTACATGTGAACATTTTACACGTTCCACTTCAGCTTACAGTTCAGCAAGTTCTGCCCTCTCTTCTGCCCTCTCCAGGTCACCCTCGAGGATCACCAGTTTGCGAGCAACCTGTTATTAAAAAGAAAGAAGACAAGAAGAAGGCAGGAGCAAAAGTCAGATCTCATCTGCTTGTTAAAACTTCGGGGAACAGCTCATGTTTGAGCACGCACCTCCTCATATTTGCGGTCAGCCTCCTCTGCGATGTGTTTGGCCTCTTTGAGCTGCAGCTCCTGGATCTCCATCTTCTCCTCGTCTTTCATGGCTCTGTTCTCAATCACCTTCATGCCTCTGAAGATGAGACAGATTCAAAGTGTTAAAGAGAGTCACATCCCACTGAAGTGATACTTAACACTGATTCAAATGTAAAGAAAACAACTCCCTATACAACTGAGGCCAAAATTCGATACATCCCAAGCAAATTTAAATTCAAAAGTATTTTTTATTCAACCAAAGAGAAAAAAAATATGTTGAAAATGTATACCTTTTACAGCAATCAGAATTTTTATGTCTGAGCCACGTTTTGCAGGTTTCCACTGTTACTCCAGCTTTTTGTGATAAACTTCATACCTAGTCTTTTGCTTAAAATTAAAAGACTACGTAAAATCTAAATCCGCCAGGGATTTGAATAATTTTGAGTTTAATTG